GAATTGTCTTGAGTTTTTCATTTTACTTGTATGTAGTTTAACAAATAAAAATATAGGATGCTCATGCTGTATTACGGAACATGTTGTTGTTAATTGCTATCAAGTTGGCCCTTACTCACGGCAATCCCATATACAATGGTCCTGTTTCCATCTTCATGACTGTTGGTATGCTAGAGTATATTGTTGCAGCCACTGTGTATTTTGAGGGCCTTCCAACCCAGGGGTCTCATCTTCCGGCACTATATCGGACAATAGTCAGTTGTGATCCATCGGGTTTTTGCTGGCTAATCTTTGGAAGTAGATCCCCAGGCCTTTCCTCCTAGTGTGTCTTAATCTGGAAGGTCCGCTGAAACTTGTCCACCATGGGTGGCCTTGCTGGTATTTGAAATACTGGTGGCATAGTTTCCAGCATCATAGCAAATGCAAGTCACCATAGTATGATAAACTGACAGGTGGAGGTGGTTTGGGACATACTCGTACATTATTATTTATTTGTACATTATTATTATTGCAAGTTACTTGTTATTTATCTGAAGTTCAAATTTAACTAGGTGTTCTGTATTTTATCTGGCAGCCCTACTTGTATGTGTAGATACAGCAAAATGTGACTGAAGGGTGAGATAACAATTCTGCAGGCATGACGAGGGAAGACCTGCTGGAAATGTTATCATGCAGCCTTCTGAGTATACCTGCCTGCGCTTGGGAAACATAAGTAATGGAATGGGAAGACGGGATTCCCTAACAAGATGAGGAAAAAGTGGGAGGGAGGGGAGCTTGGAGGGGACAGAGGCAGGGCACAAGGGAGACAAATCAGAGAATACTCAGAAGGAAGAGGCCCCTGGGAGACACTGTTGGAGAAGCAGAGTGACCTGTAGAACCTCTCCTTGGGGAAAAGTGGGTTACGGAAGGGGACAGTGAGATGCAAGCACTGAAGAATTTTAAACTACTTGATGGCTTTCACAGAAGATGATCTTCCCTCTTCACTGCAGATTTTGGAATTCTATACGTACTTGTGCAACTTGAAGAGGAAGTTCAGCTCCCTACTCCTGGGTTCCCCACGAGAGCAGCCCCGGATGAGCTCTGGGCTCCCCCGCTGGTGGCTCTTGTGGGTATTGCTCCCTCAGACCTGCCTCGGGTATCTCAGCGACTTCTCATCGCTCACTCTCCCTCTTAGAAACGCTGCGCATCAGCTTCCTTCTCTCTTCCTTCTTTCCTCTGTTTCTGTCGGTTTATTGATTCGGAGCCTGCCCTCGGCGTGACACCTTCCAACTGCTCTGCTCCCCAGAACGAGGCCACACAGAGCTGGGCATTGTTGCCTCGGTTCTGCGACCACCCGCGTAGGGGAAGAGACCCGCTGAGTGACAGCGGCCTCCGGTCACTGCCCGGCAGGGCCAAGGAATGAAAGCGTGTGCTCCAACCCCCAGCAGGATCGTCTCCCTCGCTGCCCTCCAGCGGGAAGCAAGCCCTTGCTCCAACCTTCTTCCTGACCCGTGCAATTAACAACACTCAATTTTCTGTTTTCAGTGTGGAGTGTATGAATAAAGGCTTAGAAAAAAGGAGGATTTTACAGGGATAGGGAATTTTTCAGCCTGGGCAAGGGAAGCCTGCTTAGGGGTGGGGGCAGAGGTGGAGGGATGAGTAAGGGAAGGAAAACAAAAACCAAACCCGCTGCCATCGAGTCGATTCCGACTCAGCGACCCAACCTTACAGGAGGGAATTTAAAAAATTTATTAGGAATGTACTTACTTATCAGGACTATTTAAAAATGTTAATTTGAAATATTTTATAGTTTCATTTGCTAACAGATCTCTGACTACTACTTGTAAGGATTTATACTCTACCCCCCTTCCTTCTAGTTACACCCTGACAGAGCTGCCACGCCCCTTAACCTTAATGGCGGCTCCATAGCTTTCTCACAACCTGGTGACCAATTTCTCAAGTTTGCGTTCTGGAGTGGGAGAAATCCAGTTTAGGCTGCAAAAGGGAAGGAAAGTGGTGACTGGAGGGGGAAGCACTTCCTAGACGTGGATTCGTCTTTTGTGATACTTCCCTGAATGCTTCTCTAGGTCCAGAATGTCGTACAGGTGTGCAGATACTGACCACCTCAGGGTGGCCAGAGCTGCTTTGGTCCCTCAGCCATGAGCAACTCTTTTCCCCAACTGGCCCCAAAGGACAAATATGGATTCAAATTTAGGATGCATTTATCAAGCATAGGGATTTGTAGGTTTTTTCCTCGAACAATCCTTTAAAGAATCTGCTGGAAATTAAGGATTTCATTCCCAGAAAAAGGCAAATGCACAACCTTCTTACAATTTCAAGGGCTTTATGAACCCACTGAAGTCTTCACGTGGATAACCTAGGCGTCCATGGACCTCACTTACGAGCCTCTCCTCTAGGTGGATGCCATCTGCAGGTAGAGGATCAGATTAAAGGGTCACTGGACACAACTTTGGAGTGGTTAAGAGCTACAACTGCTAACCTAAAGATCAGCAGTTTGAATCCACCAGGCTCTCCTTGGAAACCCTATGGGGCAGTTCTACTCTGTCCTATAGGGTCACTATGAGTCAGAATTGACTTGACAGCAACAGGTTGGCTTTTGGACACAACTTCAGCCTGGAGGTTCCATGATAATGCTGCCACTGCCAATTCTTTATTAAAAAGCACGATGGAAAAAAAAGTCATCATCCATAAGTCTGTCTTAATGAATAGAGCAGTTCACTAGCACCATGGCTGTTTCTGAAATATCCCTTGAGATCTTATGCAGCTCTTTTTACAAATGGCAATAGTAATCACAGAGATAAATCTATCTAATTTAATGGTCAGGCAGGGAATTACATTTTTGGCAGAACCATTGGTGGCATTACACTTTTCTAATCCCAACATGGAAAATTATCATCAAGATTCAATTTATCTGAGAAATTTGAACCTGATGTGGACAAGTAAGTGCAGATTATTACAGCAAAGTATTTCCTTCAGCTCCGAATTCCAGCTCCACTTCTAGGAGCTGAGCAGAAAGAGCCTGCCCTTAACTTCTGTTCTTGTGGCCAACTCCTCCTGCTGGTTCTGCTAAGATTTTACCTTCTCCCTCTGCCTTGCCATGTGGTGTCCTTCCCCAGCATTGCCCTGAGCTCCACCATCAAAGAATTTATGCTTTTTTGGGGAAAAGAATAACAACACACACAGATATAATGTAAAACTATTTCTTTTCTTTATTGAAAATACATCTACAAAGTAATGTTTCTTAGTCCACACTAGGTGCGTGTACATGCAGAGCCTGTGGTGGGCTGGTGAGAGGATCATACCTAGAGGACCTGGTTTCCTTCAGAAATGGTTAGTATAAAAAAGGATCACACTGTGTAACAGAATTAATTTGCCATGATTAATTTGGTTCTACTGGTGTCATAAAATGACAGTCACATACATTAACTTTTGTAGTGCATTCCCCAAATAGAGCCTCAACATTAAATTGTTACTCCACCACTGCCTAACATTAACTTTTATACACATAAAATGCTCGGGATCTATATAAAAATATCTCTAATTGTATATCAGGGGATGAATATCTAGAATTTCAGTCTGTTAGCATGACTAAGCCCATTCTTCACCATCTTCTGTCAGAAATTCAAACACAGCTGGTGTTGTCTAACAGCTCTCACTTGACCCCTTTGACCAGATATTCCTTAGGGGGTAAAAATTAATCTCCTCTAAACCTGGGAGCTGCCTCAACTGAAATTAATGCCCCTGCTGTTTTTACTTGCGAGCTCAATGCCTTTGTACCAATTCATCTTCTACTATTTTGCTCAGGAACACAAACGAAACACAATAAAACAACCCACTCCAGCTGAAGGTTTTGAATCATTTGGTAAGTGGAAATCCAACACAAAGAAATACCTTGTTTCTCTCATCCTAAGAACTTTCAATTAAAGTAAAAAACATTTCCAAATAAGGGACCACCCAACCAGCTCATGGACCCCTATGAGAGAGCTCATTCAACTCTTTTAAAATATACAAGAAGTGACCTCTTGTTTTGATATGCACACTTCCTTAGGGAATGATTTTGAACTGAAGAGAAAAAGTGTTCCAGGTTAAAAAAAGAAAGTAACTTTTTAATTCTTTCGTAAAGACCTATAGTATTGGTGTTCTAAGATCCTCTCTTTATAATATGAACATGCTCCATTTTTTCCTAGCTGGCTCTTTAGTGTTCCATAGTAAGACCGTGAGCACCCTGCTAGTTGCTAGTCTTACATTTTCTTTTCTAAAAGTTTATTGTCAGTTGAAGAGTGGTGGGAGACCTTCTTCCCAGAGCAGTCCCTTCAGTTTGGGAAGAGTTGGAAAGACGGGCATACTTCCCCAGTTAGGAAGAATTGGGCACAGAGTTTTTGTGAATAATTCCACTCCTGGCATGGCCTCCTGCCTGGTGACTTACATAACTGACATTTTGGACACAGGACCTGGTGAACCACTCAGACATCCCACCCCTAGTTAGAAATGTTCACTCTTGACTAAATGTCCTTTCCCCATGTTCTAAGGAATGATACTTGGTCCAGGCTGTCCTGAGGGGAAATGAAGGGTGGCTCTTTCATGATGTCACAGGATGTTCGGGCTAAAAGAGACCATAAAGGCATCAAGGGAACTCACTCACTTTACAGATGTAGGTCCGAGAGATGAGAAGAGACTTGCTCAAGGCCACACAGACATTTTACCTTGTGCCTCTTCTCACACTGTGCTAGCTGTGTGTGCGTATATTGTCTTGCTACTTGTATAATAAGGACACAAGTTGAAAGAGAAAGGAAAAAAACCCTTCTACATCCAACTGATCACCGACTGTAATTTATCATGCTGTTATGTTTTGAGACTAAAACTGAATTGTGTCCTAAAGGATTTTTAAATTTCAAAACTTGATTCAGAAACATGTTTACGGCCTACTTTTTGTCTGATTCTTTAACTTATGAAAAACAACATCACATTTACAGGACTGTGTGCTACGTCAGCTTATAAGATCTGATGAAGAATATTTTTGATCTCAAGTATCTTATTAGGTAAGACTAACGTGAAATGATTTAAGATTTTGAAATGTGGGATAAAAGACACACAGTTTGGCCACTGTAAAATTCTCCCTTCTTTTTGGAGTAATACTTCCAATACTGTCAGAGTAAGGGAAAGCGAGGTAAGGGGCTTACTGTAGAAAATGAGTTGTAATGGGATGGAAGCTTTATAATGGTTTTCAAACACCTGGTGCTCAAGAAAGCATTTCTTTGTGTTAGTCTACATCTTGGTTTCACTGTCTAAAGGCTTCTCATTTTCATTTTCCTGGGCAATCAGCTGATATGGTTTCTTCATTTCATTCTCTTCAATCACCGAGTTACCCATTTCAACATCTCGGTTCTTCAGTTCATGTCGTGATAAATGCTCAACAATCCCAGCTCCAAGGGAGTCACCCAGCACATTGGTGGTGGTACGGAGGCGGTCCCTGTGGGAAAGGTGAGGAGGAGGGAAAAATAAGGCTCTTGTGAACATTATGGGATTTCAGCTTATGTTATGAATTGGCCGGCTAAGTGTTTGGAAGCATCTCTTAAAATTCAGTTTGAAGTAACCACCAACAGCATGATTACACAATGAACACATATCTTGATAATAAAACCAGTTGCCATGGAGTCGACTCGGATTCATGGTGACCCTACATGTGTCACAGTAGAACCGAGCTCCATAGGGTTTTCAATGGCTGATTTTTCAGAAGTAGATTGCCAGGTCTTTCTTCCAAGGCACCTCTGGGTGGACTCGAACTGCCAACCTATCAGTTAGTGGCCTAGTGCTTTAACAATTGGCACCACCCAGGACCACCTTTAATAATAAAAAATGAAACAAAACCTGTTGCCATCGAGTCGATTCCAACTCATGGTGACCGTGGTTTGTGACTGGCTGCTAACACAAATGCTGCTGGTTCAAATCTACCCAGAGGCTCCGTGGAAGAAATGCCTGGTGGTCTGTTTCCATAACGATTACAGCCAAGAAAACTCTATGGAGCAGTTCTACTCTGTAACACACTGGGTTGCCCTTAATACTAGCAGATATTAAATATCATAAGGATACATATATTTTTAATTTTCAGTTATTAGTCTGACTATAGTTAGAGTACCAAGAGTGGGAAAGACCTTTCTCTTTCTTCTTTTGTTTAAAATTTCCCCTTGATTCTCTCTCCTACAACTCGCCTTTCTTTCTACCAGGAGTTCTCCAAGTATGACGCAGAGACCCCTAAGGATCCCTGAGATCCAAACTATTTTCATGATAATACAAAGATGTTATTTGCCCCTTTTACTCTCAATTTCTCATGAATGTTTGGTGGAGTTTTGCAAAAACTACGTGTATGATATCACAAGGGATTAAATGCAGAAGCAGCTAGGAGACTCTAGTTGTCTTGTATTAAGCCAGTGGACACTAAAGAGATTTGCAAAAAATTTAAATGATGCATTCTTTACACTAAACTTTTGGTTCAGAAATGGTTATTTTTGTAAAAATGTTATTTATGTTAACATGTAACAAATTTATTGTAACCTTTAAATGCATTTAAAAAATTTTAAATTTCTCAGTGTTCTCTAATTTGATAAGTATTGATAGATACAACTCACATAAATACAAACTTTTTGGCTCCTCAATAATTTTTAAGTGTAAAGGGATCCTGAGATCAAAAACTTTGAGAATTACAGCTTTAAACTATAAAAGTGTTCACATTAGTTGAGTGTGGACTGTGGGCCAGATGGTGGGCTGGCTACTTTCCATGGATCATTGCATTTAATCCCTACAGCACTACTAGGAGGTAGATGACACTATCATCCCCATTTTACAGAGGAGGAAACTAGGGTTGTTGGGAACCTGCCCAGTGTCACACAGGGGCAGGATGCAAATGCAGATCCATGTGACTGGACGCCATGCTCTCATCAATACCCCACCCACCCCTCTCATCCAGGGACAGATTACCCAATAAGCAAGGTAAGCACAGGCTTACTTGTGCTTACTTACTAATCTGTAGTGCACAATTTCACCTGATGTGGTGAAAAACAGGTGAAATTGTGCACTACAGATTAGTAAGTAAACACAAGTAAACCCGTGCATACCTTGCCTATTGGTTAATGTGCCCCTGCTCTCATCCATTGAGCTTCGCACACACTTTCAGGCTCTCCGTAGTCATTAACTCTAGTGAAGTCAACATATGTTGACTCCAGCATGGGCTATGTTCTAGGCATTTGCTTTGGACTTCCAAGGGAGAATATTTTGGAAAGCGGAAGAAAGCATGTGAGAGAAAAGAGGCAGAGGATGTCAACTAGAAGGATGGGGGAAGAGGCAGAGGGATGGGTCCCAGACAGTAGGGTCTGAGGGTGTGGGGGGTGTAATTCTGGGAACTTTCCCCACAGCCAAAAACCAATTCCACTTAATGACGCTAGCCCTTTTCCTACTGTCTGCATGGTCCCACCTCTCCCTGCTGGGCTCAGATGGGCACATCTTGCTGCATGATGCCACTGGAATGGGAAGCACAAGGGGGAAGGGCCTGAGCCGGCGTGTGAGGCCTGCAGTTCTGTTCCAGCCACCGTGGTGACGTGTTGTGTGATCCAGAATCAGCCTTGCTGATTTATGTTGGCTTTGCAGACAGCAGGCTTCCCAATCCCTGAATGGCTTTATGGAGTGAGAAGTGTAGCAGCCAGATGTGCCCTGTGCCTGTGGGCTGATAGGGAGTGAGTGCGCGTGGCGTCTGGGGCTCCAGATAAGGGCCAGGGAGCAGGAAATGAGGACAATTTAATTATGGCAATCTGCCCTTCTTAGCTGAGTTCTGTTTGGCAGGCACGTCCGGCTGCCTGGCGCCCTAGAATGACAGGGCCCTATGACAGTGTGCCAGGGTGCGGTCTGTGCGTACTCACAGGAACCAGTCCACGGCAATGATGAGCGTGATGTCGTCGGTGGGCAGCCCCACAGATGTCAGCACGATGACCATGGTGACCAGGCCCGCCTGAGGAATCCCAGCAGCCCCAATACTGGCAGCTGTGGCTGTGATGCTGTTAAAGGAAGTACCCAGACAAAACATTTTTACAAATCTCCCCAAGTAGAAGAGTATTCCCTGCAAAACATTCACTGTGCCAAAGGATTGCCTTGGCATTTTAACAGAAAAGGAGGTTCTTTGGAAAAATGCAAATAAGATTAAAAAAAAAATATCGCTGAGCTAATGATCATACTGACTAATATTTGTCAAGCACTTATTATGTGTCATCTGATATGCTAAGCATAGCTTATCCCATTTGATCCTCACAACAACCACTAGGAAGTCAGTTTTATTATTATAGCTATTTTTTTAAATGAACAAACGGGTGGCTAGCTATATAATTTTTCATGTATCTGAAAGTGTTTTGTAAAGTGAAAAATGCGGTATAGTTACAATAACAAACAATTTATTTCTAATAATTCACCTATCCAAGTAGAGGGTTGTAAAGATATTTGTATGATTAACGTGGTCAGAAAAAAAAAAATCAAATTTATTAATTCAAAAGAAAAATGATTTATGAACAAAGTTCAGTAGCATTATAAATATTTTTTATGGGGGTACTGTTGACTTGGTTTGCAAGGCATTTAACCTTAACCTTAGCTGAGTCTGGGATTCAGTTTGTTAAATACTTATTTCATAGGGCGTTAGGAGAATGTGAAACCATTTTATAAATAGTAAAGCATTACACAGAGATATAGTTTTATGACTAAAATAAGTCTGTGGCAGAGACTCCTCATGGTTCTCCCATATTGCTTCCCTTCTCTAGTACTAGAATTTTTAGCTGTTGTGTGACCACCCAGAATGAAGACGACATTTTCCAACCTCCCTTGGAATTTAGACTACGTTTTGGCTAATGATAGGAGCCCTGGTGGTGCAATAGTTAGGTGCTCAGCTGCTAACCAGAAAGGTCAGCGGTTCAAACTCACTAGTGGCTCCGCAGAAGAGAAGACCTAGCAATCTGCTCCCTTAAAGATTACAGCCTAGGAAACCCTCCGGGGCAGCTCTGTTCTGCCCCATAGGGTAGCTATGAGTTGGAATCAACTTGAGGGCACCCAACAACAACAACAATGAGACATCAGTGGAAGTGGTTGAACAACTTGCAGGCTGAGCCATTTCCCTTTTTCCTAGTGGCTAAAATTTGGAGGTGGTGGTGAGCCATCCTGGACCACCTGGATGAGGATAACACCCCAGGGGTGATGGGACCTTACACTCTAGAACACGTATTAGCCTTGAGGACTTTGTGGAGCAGAGCTGCTGTGCAAGAAAGAGAAATACATTTCTATTTTGTTTAAGCCATTGTCATTGTTATTATTTTTAACTCTGTCACATGGACCAGAACCTTTTTTTTTACTCAGGGCTTTCTTTTTTTTTTTTTTAATTGTGCTTTAAGTGAAAGTTTACAATTCAAGTGAGTCTCTCATACAATAATTTATACATACATTGTTATGTGACCCAGTTGCTCTCCCTATACTGTAACAGCACATTCTTCCTTTCCACCCCGGATCTATTCAACCAGCTCCTGACCCTCTCTGCCTTCTCATCTTGCCTCTGGAGAGGAGCTGCCCATTTAGTCTCATGTGTCTACTTGAGCTGAGAAGCACAGTCCTCACGAGTATCATATTATGTCCCATAGTCCAGTCCAATCTTTATCTGAAGAGTTGGCCTCAGGAATGGTTTCAGTTTTTGGCCAGCAGAGGGTCCGGGGGCCATGTCTTTTGGGGTCTCTCCAGTCTCAATCAAACCATTAAGTCTGGTCTTTTTACTAGAACTTGAGTTCTTTACACAGGGCTTTTTACCCAGTGTGCCAAGGTATGCCCAAGAATAGGTGACAGGTAAGCTGAGATCCTGATCTCCCAGCCTCCAGTGTAGCTGGACAGGGCTTGGGGCCACCAGAATCCCCAGGCCAGTCACCTTGGCCATGATCAGCCTCATCTCTTTACCCTACACGTCCTACAACCATTATCATTTTCCCATAATGATATATACAGAGTGTACCTATACTGGCATTAAGATATAAACCAAACATCTATATAAAATGTAACATATTCCTAAACAACATAAATATACCTAAACAAAAAAGGTGGGAGGATTGATAGAGATTAAAAGAGACTAAAGAAGAGTCCTAGGTGGAGCAAATAGTTAAGGCTGCTAACTGAAAGGCTGGAAGTTCGAGTCCATCCTGAGGTACCTTGGAAGAAAGTCCTGGTGAAAAGAAAGGCCTTCTGAAAAATCAGCCATTGAAAACCCTATGGTGCACAGTTCTACCCTGACACACATAGGGTTGCCATGAGTTGGAATTGACTTGAGGACAACTGGTGGTTGATAACAACCAAATGCAAGGCATAAATCTGGATTTGATGTTGGTTGGTCTGAGAGTGGGGAAAAGTTATAAAAGATATTTTTGGGATAATTGGGGAAATTTGACTATAGATTGGATATTTGGGAAGTATTTTTAAGATTCTTACAGTGAGGCTGTGTAGAAGAATATTCTTATTCTCAAGAGGTGCATGCTGAACTATGGACAGGTGATTAACAAGCACACTTGTACACATATGCTGAAGGGAAGAAAGAAAGAGAGAGGTACTAAAGAGAGAGGAGGAAAGGAGCAGCAAAATGGCAAAATGTTAGCCATTGCTGGATCTAGATAGAGAACGTTTGTTATAATATTCATTTTATCTTTTTTTATATGTATGACAATTTTCATAATAAAAAGTTGTGGAACTAAATAAAAGATCTGACTTTTGATTTCTAAAATATATCAAAGTCTGATCTAGATTGTGAGGCATAAAGCTCTCCAGTTGCTTTTACACTTATTGGTCCATTGTGCATATTAACTTTCAGTAAACAAAAAGGGGGGATTCTATTCACATATGCACATGGTTGTGCAGGGGCTAGTTCTGGAAGGATGGGAGGGAAACTGGCAAGGACCAGTGGCTGCCTCAGGAGAAGGAAACTAAAAGATGGGGGAAAGTATGGGAGAAAAAAATGACTTTTCTCTTGTTGTTATTGTTGCGTGCGGTCGAGTCAAGACATGTCAAATATAGTAATAAAAAATTCTGCACAGGTACCCCAGAAACTGGCCCCTGGATTCACTGATAACCCAGACCTGAAACCATTCCGGAAACCCACTCTTCAGACAAAGATTAGACAGGACTATAAAACAAAAAATAATATATGTGGGGCATGTGCTTCTTGGCTCAATCAGCTATACAAGAGCAAATGGGCAGCTTCTGGCCAAAAGCAGGACGAAAAGGCAGGAAGGGACAGGAACCGGTCAAACGGAAACAGGGAACCCGGGGTGGAAAGGGGGAGCATGCTGTCATATTGTGGGGATTGCAGCTAACGTCACAAAACAATATGTGTATAAACTTTTGAATGAGAAATTAACTTGAGCTGTAAGCTTTCACATGAAGCACAATTAAAAAAAAAACAAAACTCTCCACAGAAATCAAACTCTTATCCTATGGCTTGTCACCTAAAAATTAATCCAAGAGAACAAGTTAATCCAGTTTTTCAAGTATAGTTCTATTTCCTAATATTATCAATAAAAGCTAACATATTGTAATACTTTCAAAATGAAGTATAATCTAACATGGAGCAGTGTGGACCTGGTTTCTTAAAAAGAGAACAATCCATACTCTGTATTTTGCAGCTTTTAAAAAGAATGAGCCAGATATATTTGTAGATGGTATATTGATAAGCAAACCAATCAAGCAGCAAAGTGTATGATTCCATTGGTTAAAAGAAAAAACGAGGGTATGCCTATGCGTAGAAAAAAGTCTTCACACACTAGCCTTAACAGTGGAGATGGAGGTAGAAAGGGATGCGGGCAGGCAAGTTTCACTTGTTACTTCATACACTTCTATATTATTAGAATTTTGTTTTTAATGAGTATCTGTAATTATAAAGAAGACTAATAAAAATATCTGAACTATCAAAAACAAAAGTATTGATTTATAAAGACAATGTTCTACGTTCTACCTTGGTGAGTAGCGTCTGGGGTCTTAAAAGCCTGTGAGCAGCCATCTAAGATACTCCACTGGTCTCA